AGAGAGAGAGAGAGAGAGAGAGAGAGAGAGAGAGAGAGAGAGAGAGAACCCAAAAATAGCAGCATTTTTTTTACAAAGTAACCATAGTTGTGTGTTTCTATTCATCTTTGTTGTCTTTTTTTAAAAAATAAATTCCTTAAAGGAAAGCACTTTCTTCCTCTTCATTGTTTTTAACATTTAGCATACAAGAAGTAGTTGATATCAGAGTATGATAATTTGGAAAATTACCTTTGATGAATAAAAATTTCTTCCAAATCCAGTCATGGAGGCAGAAACTGGACTGAGACCACAAGGGGCAAAGATTGAAATGGGGGTATATGAGTGGAGAACCCAAGCCACAGAAAATTCTTTGTAGACATTTTTGGGGCTAACTTATGGAATTATAAATGCTCAGCAATTCAGCACACAAATAAACTTGTGTGTGTGTGTGTGTGTGTGTGTGTGAATATATGTATGTATGTTTTAGGCAAAACTGGCCTTTCCATGTCTCCAGGTTTCCAAATGAGCTAAGCCTTTCAGTGACTTACTAGAAATAGCATGAGGTGTCTAATGAAACAATATTAAATTTTCTTGTGAGTCATTGACGTGAGTATCTCTAAAGTAATTAACTTTTTCTTAATGTCTGGTCAAGGAGAAAATTCATAACTACAGCACTCAAAGAGGTTTATTTAGATGGGACCTCATGTAGAATAGACTAACCTACTATGAGGGTGGCACTCATTCATAGGAGGAAGTATGCTTGTTGTAGGGGACTATATAGAAAATTGCTTTCCCAAGGCAATTAATGGGACCTACCCCCCTACCAGATTATAAACCTCTTCATGGAAAGGACCATGGCATTCATTTTGTATCCACTACAACATATAACACATTGCCTCAGGCAGACGTTATTATCCCCAATTTATAGAGAAGATAAAACTGAGGCACAGAGAAGTTAAATGACTTTTCCCAAGGATCTTAGAGGTACTTATTAGCAGAGCTGGTATTTGAATTCAGGTCTTCTAACTCTAAAATCAAAGAAAGAATTCCTCTATGCCACGTTGCCTGATGTTGGTTAGAAAATTTATGGTGAATTAAATGGAAGTAAATATTTGTATTTGCTTAACATGAGGAGATGATGAGAAGAGTATGAAATGGATAAATCTAGGTGGGCCCAATAAAAATTTGGTTGGTGGGGAGGCCTTTGGATTTTTGAAAAATATCAGCATTGCTGGTGTCATTAATATGACCTGTGCTACAAAAGAAGAACACAGATGAAAGAAATATTCAGTATCCTCCCAGAGGCTACCTAGTAATTGACTGGCCATGTTAAAGATCCCATTAGGGATTTCAGCTGAGCTTCTTATGGGGTTAGGCCCATTGATTTTTAGTGCAAACTTTACCTTTTAAGAAATTGTGCATGTAGCTCTATAACAGCTTGTGCTTACTTACAGGATAAAGTTATTATTGCACTTGCCTTTGACTGTGTGGATAAGGTGGTTTACTGGACAGACATCAGCGAGCCCGCCATTGGGAGAGCCAGCCTTTATGGTGGGGAGCCAACAACCATCATCAAACAAGGTGGGAAATGCTTTCTGTTATTCATTGGTTTTGTTTTTAGGAAACAAGACAGACCGTCTCTACCTCCATGGTGTAAGTGGCAATGGTATCTCACAATCCAGTGCATCAGGCAGGGGCCCCTGGCCTCAGATATCATTCTATGGCCAACTTGCCTCGAGAGTTCCCTTTGAAAATGTACCTGTCCCTAGGAAGATCATAGGATCATAGATTTATCACTGGAAGGGACCTCAGAGGCCATCTAGAACAACTCCTTTATTGGGTGACCTACCTTAACTGTTTTTAGAATAAATTTGAGAATAAGGTTGGGAAATGGGATCAGTTTCCAAATCACACCAGTAGATGTCTACTGTGCTATATTATCTTTGAAGGCTCCCTTCCCCTTTCTATCTCCTTACTTTACAGATGAGGAAACCAAGGCCTGAAGAGAAAGGTTAAGTAACTTGCCCAAGGTCACACAGGTTAGGTAGCTGATCAAAACAGAACTCAAACTCAAGCACTCCCATTCTAAATCCAGTATACTTTCCATTGAATCAGGATGGATCTTATCACAGTGCAATCTCTAGGTTTGCTTAAATTCTGTCATTGCATAGGAATTTTCATGTCTTTACTATTGCCTGAAATAAATGAGCCATTACCTAGACTTAGAGACATTTTCATCTAACAGATCTGTATTGAAATGGCATTGATTCTCTTGGGATTTCATCTATAATCTGGAGTATAATGTAATAGCAAATCATTTTGTTTCCAACATGCACTGCTAAATCATAACAGCATGCCTTTGAAAATAGGCTTTTGGTTTCCCCCAACATGAAACAGAGCATAGCTCTCCAATTTCCAATTTGGCATTTTGCTGACCATTCCTATTCTGAAAGGGTCCCAGCGCTTTTGAAGCAGACCCCTGGGCTTTTTCCCTTTGGTTGACTTTGCCAGAGGTTAATGCAGCAGGAATTAAAGTTGAATTAAATTTGTTTGGCTGTGGATACAGCCATTGAGTTCTTTGGTACAAAACTCTGTTATCAAGAGACTATTGCTGTTTTTTCCATGATTGGGTTGATGGGTAGAAGCTTTCCAGATGCCATTTTGCATTTATCCAGTCGTTCCTTTTCCCAAAATGTTGTGACTGTTATCTTCATTTTGAGTTCAAAACTCAGTGGGCTGGGCTAGGCTAGGCTAGTAGGTCAGTGTCAGCTATTTCCTGTTGCTCTTGGACCTGATAACCATCCAAGACAATTCTGCACAGTCAGAAACATTCCCAACAAAAGCCTTCTTACTTACTGCCAAAACACTGAATGAAAGAAACCCAAATCTGATCCTTGCAGAAGAAAAGTCACAGTGTGAGCTTTTCACCAAATGCAGAGAAATTTCAACATTTACAGGCTGGTGCTTGATATAGAATACAGCCATGTTTCCCTTTTCCCTTTGCCTATGTCTTATGCTCTGGCTTTCTTCAAGTCCAGCTAAAATCCCACTTTCTACAGGAAGTCTTTCTCCATCCCCTCTTAATTCTAGTGCCTTCCCTCTGTTGATTATTTCTAATTTATCCTGTAAATAGCTTGTTTGTACAATAGTTGTTTTTATGGTGTTTTCCCCTATTCAAAAGTGAACTCCTTCTGAGCAGGGACTGTCTTTTCTTTGTATCTCCAGTGCTTAGCACAGTGCCTGGCACATAGTAGGTACTTAATTGTTGTTGTTGTTGTTGTTAGGGCTCTGCCCTAACTCAGCATTCTTTATTTAAAGTCCCGAACCCGTTTCTTTCTAAACATCATCATTACTGTTATTTTTAATTTAAACATGAGCAAGTAATACAAAATTTGCTGCCTTATCATTCTACCCAAGCTGCATGTTGGTTGACATTTTCCAGATCTCAGCACCATAGGCTGTAAGCAACATGTCCTTGGGGGGCCGGAATTTTCTTGGAGTTTGAATTAGGACCAAGATTTTTACTGATGAGATAATGAGATGTGGAACTCCCTCTGGGATTTCTTCAAGCATCCTATAAAAATATTAAACTCTTAACAGTCCCTCCTCTCCCCACCCCATCAGTGTGAGCATGTTTGTGCTTTAAGTATCCCACATAGCCCATGTGGGATGGACTCATTCCAAATTTACCCTACAGTGATTTATTCTGATCCTGTCTCATGGAATCAAAGGGTGGGACATGACCTCAAGAGGTCATCCTCCCCCTTCCCTTGCCTCCAGGGACATGTGAAATATTTTAATACTTTACAAATCCGTACTTTCCTTTGAATAAAAAAGACTTTGCCCCCACCGAAGCTTTTCATTCCTAATGAACTTCCTCTGGGAGGGGGTCTGAGGTGGCTTTGATGGTTCCCATCAGAAGTCTGAGGGGAGAACGGGTGGGGCAGCAGCCTTAGTGTTTGGATTCTTTAAAATTTAATGAAAGCTAATACATACTGAATTAAGCATTGTGCTGACTACCTCACTTCCCTAAATCACCCAGGTAGGAGGCTGAATAGAAACAAAAAACACCATAGAGAGCAAATTCTTATTATAGTTGGGTTTTTCCCCCTCCCTCTACTTTTTTTTAAAGTTGTGTTGCTGACTTTAGTTTCCTACATGACAGTTATTTCACAGTGTACTCCCTGACTGAACCTTGCCTCATAACAAACAGAAATAGTTAAGCAAAGCCAACTTAAAAAGCTACAATGTTTGATGGCACATGTAGTATTCTACACCCATAGACTCCATCCTTCTACTGAGAGGAGGGAAGAGTTTCATCCTTCATTTATAGGATCATAGTTTTAGAATTGAAAGACTCCTTAGAGAATACACAGTTTGAGTCTCTTGTTTTATACATGAAGAATCTGAAATTGAGACTGGTTAAATGGCTTAACAGCTAGTAAGTATCAGAGGTAGGATTTGAACCCAGATCTTCCTGACTCTAAGCTTGTCAGTCTATCTAGTATGTCATACTTTCTAGAGTAATAGCTATCATTTGCATAGTGCTTTAAGGTTTTAGACCAATTGCAAGTGTTTTCCAGGGACTAATGAATGAACCCTAGACACTATGGCTTTGAAGAGTCAGAAAGACCTAAGTTTAGGACCTACCTCTGCTACAACTGTGTGTTCCTAGTAAAGTAACTTAATATCTCAATGTGACCTCCCCAATAATTCTATGAATTTAAGTTGTAGGCAAGTTGCTGATCTGAATGAGTAGAGGGAGTTTCCACATTGGGAGTTTTACTTTCACCAATAAAATCACACATCTAGATTTGCTCCCCTTCCCTTCCCTTTTACTGCCTAAACTGAATGAACTAACTGAATGTTAGTCACTGAACTAAACTGAATGTCATTCTGGGTTTTCTGAAAGACCCTAGGAGAGTATATCTTAAAAGCCCCCATGTGCTGGAGCTAGCTCATATGACTTCAGACAGCCAGTTGTTAAATTTTCAGTGTGAGTATTTAAACTTCAGAAATAAGCAAATGCTACAAATCAGAGCTTTATTTATTGTTTTGTTGATTGTTGCAACTTAAAAAAGAACAGTAATAATGCAGATTAAACTTAAAAGTGTATCATGTGTACATTTTAACATTTACCAACACACTTCTGCTCAGAAACAACCAGGACTTCATTTTCAAACTGTGAGCTTATGGAAATGGCAAACTTGTGAACTGCATCACCCAGCACTAAGTGAGCTCAGAATATGATAGCAAAGAGATAGATACCCCTCAGTAACTTCACAATCTTACCTAGGTTTATCAACTAAATCTATTTTATGAATGTCATTTGTGATTTTTCCGTGTTTGATTCTAGGTCTTGGAAGTCCGGAAGGACTTGCTCTTGATCATCTAGGTCGCAATATTTTCTGGACTGATTCTCATCTGGATCGAATAGAAGTAGCAAAGCTCGATGGTAGCCAGCGGCGAGTGCTCTTTGAGACAGATCTGGTGAACCCCAGAGGAATCATAACAGATTCTATTAGAGGGTATTTTTTGTTTGTGTAAATGTATATGTCTCACTGGGATATTTTCAGATAGCAGGCTCTTAACACTAGTCTTATTCCCTTTCCTAAATATAAGACCCCTGGAAATAATTGATATTCTGCAGAAAACTTTTTTTTTCTTCCAGAAGTTTCCATTTAGTAGAAACACTATTTAGTAGACTAAACCCTATTTAGCAGAAACCATATGTATCATGGCTCAGGTGTAATGTGTCCACACTGCCTTGTTCTACTGAAAAACCATGCACTAGGCTTTACAACCTGGAAGTATCATATTCCTCACTGGCATTGAATGTGAATAATATTGGAAGTGAGACTAAGATGGACAGCCCCAGAACTCTTACCTGGGTTCCAATCCATCATTAGTGATGGTTATTATTGTTGTTGTTATTATTATTCATTTGGATATCAGACAGCATAACATTCTTAAACAGTACTTCATCCTCACTTCATGTGTAATTTGGACTTTCTGGATCTCACTAGAGTCAGCTTTCTTTCCCCTTACACATATTGCACCTGTTTGCAAGTATCATTGCCTCCTTGCCTGTTTGAGTCCACATCTATGCCTTCATCTTCACTCTCCAAAGCCTGCAGTGCATTCTAGGTTGTTGTAGTATGTAGTAACTACATATAATGAATGATTTTGAAAACAGCTCTCCTGGTAACATATCAGCTCAGACTATGGAATGAGTTTGTTCTTAAACTAACTGGCCAATTGGCATGTGGGAGGAAAAAATATAAACTGTGAAAAGTTAAATTTACCCCTTCCCCATTCTCTTCTTCCTAGCCTGTTCATTTTATCCCATGACTTATTTAGTATCTACTGGTATTTTTAACCACAGGCTTCTTTTAAAAAAAAGAACTTAAAAAAATCCTTTCAATATTACTTCAGTGTTCCTTTGTTTTCTTCTCTCTTCTTCCCCACTGCCATCTTTCCTCTTCTAGAAATCTTTATTGGACAGATTGGAACAGAGAAAGTCCTAAAATTGAAACTTCCTACATGGATGGCACCAACAGAAGGATCCTTGTGAAAGATGACCTGGGATTGCCCAATGGATTGACTTTTGATACTTACAGTTCACTGTTGTGCTGGGTAGATGCAGGTAACTTGAATACCCTCAGGTATGATAAATAAAGAGCAATGCCAGCCCTTGCCTTGGGTGGTGTACTTCAGGAGTATCTACCAACAAAGGGAGGGGCTGGGAACTTCCCACAAGTAAGTCATTCCACCCCAAGAGCCTTTACAAACACATCACCAGAACAGACTATACTTTTTTTTAAACTGATATTTCTATAGTACTTTAAGGTTTGCCAAATACTCTACATATATTATCTTATTTGATCCTCACAACAACCCCTGGTCGGAAGCAGGATTCAAACTCAGGTCTTCTTGACTATGAACCAGTGCTCTCTCCACTGTACCACCCAGATACCTGACCAAAAAATATGTCAGAGCTTCTTATTCTTTATAGAAAGGTTCCCAGCAGCAACCAGAACATATTTCTCAAACTACTGTCAACAGACACGGGCAGGGATCTCATCATCAATTAAGTTGAGTTTTTTGCCTTATTTTTATTCTCAGTGATGTCCTAGAGGACAGCTTTCTTAGCCACGGAGGGGAGAAGGAACTCACCACTGCCATCTCTCAAATAGGAAGTAGATCTAGGTTCTTCAAGAAAATCCAATGCTGGATCTCCTCTGATTAAAAAAAAGAAGATAATTTTATGAATGGTACCAGTTCCAGACATTGATCTAGGAGTTCACTTTTTCAAAAGCCCATTAGTTGGTAGTTATCAGCTGCCATTGGCCTTTGTACCACCTATTTCCTTAGAGTACCTGCTAAACAGTAAATTGCTATAAAAATATGAGTTGTTACTATGATTGTTAACAATTACTGGAAATAAAAATGGCCATCCCAAAGAAGGCATGACTATTTGAAGGAAGAAGAAAGCTAAATGTGTCAGGGAAAGCTTGGAAAAATAATTTTTTTTAAAAGTTGAATTTATTCACTAAGCTATGTCATTTATAACACTGATTCTTTCTCACCCCTGCCCTGTTTTTGACACAAAAGAGCCATTTTTTCATGCACAAAGAACAAATTGTTTTCTTTCTTCACAGGCACCAATCGGGTGGAATGCATGAACCCCAGCCATCCCGGCCAGCGCAACATCCTTGAAGGGCCCCAGTATCCTTTTGCCGTTACAAGCTATGGGAAGAATTTGTATTACACAGACTGGAAAACGTACGTCAGCTGTTACAGTGTTGGGGCCCTTGCTGTGTTTGCGGCCACAGACCTTCCCATCTGTCCATTTGGCCCAGACTTTGGCCTTCTGAGAAACTCCTCCTCTATTCTCTGAGCTGTCAGTGGCTAAGGTGGGAGGAGGGGGAAGAATAGGAAGAGAGAGAAAGGAGAAAATAAAGCCATTTTTCATTGTAATGTTTTGGTGAGCAGAATTTTCCCATATTTTCAAAAATGGGCTTCTTTGGGATATACATGAATCCGTAGGGGTCCTGCACCATTTGGAATAAATGATGTCATTTTTATTTTTTCTTTCTTTACCACAGTTCTTAATTAGCTGTATATCCTCAGTCCCCTTGCTAACCTTGTTAACCCTGCCTCCCAGATAAAGGGAGACCAGAGAAATGGCTGCCCAAAGAGCTTTATCTTAAGCCAGAGAGGGGTGGTGAGAATTGCCCTTTGATCCTTGCTTACCTCCAAGAAGTTGACACCAGGATTGAAACTCCCCCCCCCTTCCCCCCGCTTGCCAAGGAGGAATATATTCTATTTTCTTGCTTAGGAAAAAAGCCCATAACCTTTGCTTGCAGATGTTGCTCTGGCAACTCTGTGTCTGCAAAAAAGTTCCTCTGCAGAACAAACAGACAATGTTTTGTATTGTTTCCTTTGCTGGTAGGAATTCTGTAGTGGCAGTAGATCTCGCTATCTCCAAAGAGACCGACAGCTTCCATCCTCACAAACAGACCCGGCTGTATGGCATAACAACAGCTTTTTCTCAATGTCCTCAAGGTACCTGTCATTGTCACTGCTGGAGTTTAGTGGTCAGTGGTGTTGTCAAGCGCCTTGAAGCTGGAGGGAAGATTGAAGTTGGGGTGGGGGAGGAAGTGGTTTTGAGTGGGTGGGTAGTGGGGTGTCCTGTGAATTTGACTTGCCTACTCTTAGTGATGAGGAAGAGGTTATATTAGTATCTTTGGGTGGCCCACCCTCTTGAGCCACCCAGCCAATCTCCACATACCTAGTGACTACTCAGTCCACACTGAGATGAGGATTGGAAAGTTGAAGGGAGAGTAGAACAGTCTTACTGTGCCTAGCATTTTGAGATGCACAATGTTCTAGACTTTTTTTTAGCCCCTTAAGAAATAACTCTTGGGGAGACACCTTGGTGGTACAGTGGATAAAGTATTGGGCCTCGAGTCAGGAAGACTCATCTTCACATGTTCAAATCTGGCCTCAGACATTTACTAGCTGTGTGCCACTGGGCAAGTCACTTAACCTTGTTTGCCTTAGTTTTTCATCTGTAAAATGGGCTGGATAAGAAAATGGTAAACCACTCTAGTATCTAAGAAAACCCCAACTGGGGTCATGAAGAGTCAGACACAACTGAAAAATGACTAAACAAGGAATAGCTTTCCAGACAAGTTTTGGTGGTTTGGGGAGATGAGCTGTTCATCTGCATAGCTTGCAAACCAGAGGATCATTATATTTTGTTTCCTGGTGTCGGATTTTGTTTGTATGTAAGAAAACACCTAGGAAGGGGACTTCCAGCGATAAGGCTGATGCAATTCTGAGCATCCTAGACAGTTTCACATTTTCATGTTCTTATTTTCTTTTTAAAATCAGAACCTATGATTCAATTAATGTAGTGAGCTTCCTGGTATGGGAACTCTCTTCACTGATGCAGGTCAGGAAATCATCTGTATTTTCTTTGAGAATTTCCTAAAGCATTGAACAGTTTAGTGACTTAACCAGATTCAGTGATTTAACCAGGTTCACGTAGATTTAGAGCTGGAAGAGACCTCAGAGCCCATAAAATGCATTTTACAGGTAACCAGACAGAAGTTAAGTGACTTTCCCAGGGTCACACAGCTTGTGTCTGAGGCATGATTTGAACTGAGATCTCCCTAACTTCACATTGGTACTCTATCATCACCTATAGCTATACCACCTATAGCTGCCTCAAGGGGCAGGATTTGAACCCAGTCTTTCCTGACTTCAACGCCAGCTGTCTGTGTACTGTGCTAACTACCTCTTGATAGTCATAGAGGCCAAAAAAAAAAAAAAAAGACTCAGTAGAGAGGCCATCTTGTTAACATTATTGTCTATGTCAGCTCAGATGACTTCCCTCGATACTAAAATGAATACACTTTTGCCTTACAACAGGCCACAACTACTGTACAGTGAACAATGGAGGCTGCACTCATCTCTGCTTGGCTACCCCAGGAAGCAGGTCCTGTCGATGTCCTGACAACACCCTGGGGGTTGACTGCATAGAGAGGAAGTAATGCACTGGAAACAACACAAAGAAAGGAATGCCACTTACATTCACCACATTTTCAACCACAACACCCTACCTTGACATGAACCAGACTGAAACCAATCTTTCAGAGCCAAGTTGTAATTGACCCAGTGACCAACACAACCTGGGGAACTTCAGTGTTCCATCTGCCACTAAAAAAAAAAAATACATCCTGTGCTCTCTGTAATAGGAAAGCCTCAATCTCTATACTAGAACCTTAAGGACCCTCTTGGTGGAGACTCCTGGAGAAATGCATGAAGCCCCCCGGCTGTGTTGTCTGGCTTCTCAATTCTCTCTCAGCCCCTGGATGCACAGCCAGCCTGAGCCAATTTAGGAAAAAATTGTGAGGTAGGCAAGGCTTCTCTATGGCGGCCTCCTACCTCCCTGCTGGGTGCTCTCTTTCCCTGTTTCATTGCCCTCCCCTTCTAGTATACGTCTTCCAACAAATTCAGTTCTCTCAATCACTCCTGGACAAAGAAAACCTTGTCTATGCTGCTTCCCATTTCCCTGGGAATTCTACTGTCTGCTGAGGAATTTATGTCACCTGTTCCCAGTAAGATGTTACATTTCAATGACGACGTGAGGTAGACCATGATTTAATCCAAATGAATGAATCTAAAAGTAGATATTTTAGGCCAACAAAAGAGATATTTAGGTATAAGAGGGTTCTTTGGCATCCCTCAAACCACACCAATAACTACCTTCTCTAATGCATCTACCCACATGTACCCCTATCACCAATAATCCAGTATGCCAAGACCATAGAATGTAAGAGCTGAAAGCGTTATCTTGGGTCCACCTTTCTCATTCTACAAATGGGGAAACTGAGCCCCAGAGAGGCTACATAGGCAACAATTCATTCTTTGTCTCAACATTTTATACAAGTGCTCTTCTCCTGGGTTGGGGATTTCTCTAACACCAAGGCCAGGAAATGAACACCAGGGAGATCATTTTCTCCTCCCATACCTGATCCATTTAGCAGACTAACCTTCCTCATAGCTATAACTCTCCTCAGGTCTACTTTTCCTCCTAATTGGATTTCTATGATTTCAAGTGCCTTACCCAGTATCCTCACTCACTATGTGGATGGTTCTTGTTGGCCTTCCATCTTCTCATTCTTGAAGAATGAGTCCTGTCTTCTCATTTTAGGAGAAAAACTGCAGAATTGATGATGCCTCAGAGGGAGGCAGATGACTGTGAGAAGTAGTGGGGGGAGATGTGAATGGTCTCTTTTTTAGCATAAGGTGCCAGGCACATCTCAGTGGTTTGGACACCCCAGGAGGCATCCCAGAAAATGTATGGCCATAACACTTCAATTCAGCATTTATTTGGCACCTACTATATGCAAATCTTTGTTACCATTGTGCTGTGCAGACAGTAGATACTTTGTAAATATAACCTAAATTGTATTCCTGGTTTAAATAACCTAATTCTTAATTGTTTATTGATGTAGACTTACTAAAAGGGCCCTTGCCTCTTTTTTTTATCCCCAGTGCTTAGCATAGTGCCCAGCACATAGTAGGCATTTAATAAATGTTTATTGATGGATTGCCCCCATTTATTTTTCTAGGTATTTTCTGTGATTGATTAAAAGATGCTCTTTTAGCTTTTTGAGTGGCTAACATGGGATTCTTGTATCATCTACTCTTCAGAGGCCAATAGCTAATGCCACAGTAGAAGTATGGGTCCAAAGCTAAGTTTCTGAAGTTTTGATGGCGTAAAGACTAGGGATTTTAAAGCTGTAGAAGGGAATGTAGTGATTGATTTAAATAGCTTTAGAACAAAAAAAAAATTGGAGAGGCAAAAAGAATGTTAATGTTATCAATAAAGAAAACTCAGTAAACTCTGAGTTGAAGGGATCCATGTGCCAAAGAATATTTACTCTCTTTTTCTCTCTGTCTCTGTCTCTCTGTCTCTGTCTCTGTCTCTGTCCGTCTCTCTCTCCCCCTCTTCCTGTCTCTCTGTCTCTGTCTCTGTCTCTCTCTCTCTTACACTTTCCTTGGCAATGCCATGGAAGATAATCAGTTAAGTGCCAAATGAATAGTATAGTAAGTTCTGTAGGAGTCTAGAGAGGACAGTGGACTACATGGTTCAGGAAAAGCTTCATGGAGTAAGTGAAACTTTCCTTGGGCCATGAAGGATGGCCAGAATTTGAAGAGGGGGAAAGGCGTAGAGTTGGAAATTCATAGAATTGAGGACAAGTACAGTGTATCTGAAAGACATTCAGCAGATCAGAGGAGGTAAAACAGAGTTTGTATAAGAAAGTAATGGGAAGTAACATTAATAAGGAAGCTTGGCATCAGGTTGTGGAGAGCCTTGAATGCCAAGGAAAGGAATTTGGATTTTATCTTGAAGGTAAAGAAGAACCTTCAAATTGTTGGGGAGGGAGGAGTTCTTCCTCTGAACAGAACAGTGAAATAAGTTATTGGTATTTGAAGAAGATTAATCTGGAAGTAATGTGTAGGGTGGAGGGGGAGGGAACAAGTTTAAGCAGGGAGAAGAATTATGAGATGATTGCAATACCCCAAGCATGATGTTAAGGGCCTAGACCAGGGGGATGTTACTTGTCAGCCTGTTAAGAGAGATCCTTGTTCAGATGTGGGTTGGACTAGATGTCCCAAACAGTGTTAAGAGCTATTTTCAAAATTCCTTTTAATAACTTTATTAGCTAGTAAAGGTTTATAGTGTGACCTTTCTCAGGGTCATTTGCTTTTTTTCCATAGGGGGCTCTTAGAGACAAAGACCTTTAAGACTCAAAGCAATTAAGCCATAATGGCAAAATAATAAGTGGGTTTTTCTGTCATTGGAGGTCTTCAAGCAAAGATAGGATGACTATTTTTTGAGAATGATATAGAGAGATTCATGCCTTGGGTAAAGCTTGTGCTAAGTGAACTTTGAGGTCCACTCCAATCCTGCAATTCTATAATTCAATGATTTTTCCTTCCCAAGAATAGTCTTCCCACAGCATCTCCCCTCTATGCTCACTCCAGGTCCTAACCCCTTTCCCTCTGTCTTTCTATACGTCTATAGAAGAAGAACCTTGGGACCCAGGTGAGGAGAGAACCTTTCCTTACAAATGATACATATAATTTTATTTTATGATGCAGGCAATACATCTCCATGAAGCACCAGATTGGGGAACGTTTTGGTCCCTCCAATAGGGTTGGGGTTGATCTGAGGCCTGTCCTGCAGATGAGATTCCTTTTGATTTATATTTATCAAAACATATCCAGCTCTATATAAAGTGTTCTTCATGATTTTGTATAACTTTTATAACTTCATTTTATTCATATTTTATCAGATACATTTTCCAAAAAATTTTAAAAGCTATCAGTTCTAAAAAATGTGCAGAACATTGAAGGTGCTTAATAAATATGTTCCCCCAAAGTTATACAATTATCAGGTGATTCCCTAAAGTTTACATCTGTGCCACTAATAGTGCAAAAAATAATAAACTGGTTTTTTTGTAAAAAAAAAAAATCTTGTGTTCAATGGTGTCAGCTTTTCTGAATGATGAATTATCATTGGTTGATTTTAACTATTTTTAAAAATCTGAGCAAGAAATCTAATTTAGGAATAGGATTTTTCTAACTTGATTAGGAAACCTGACTTAAGAATAAGATTTACTTTTTTTTTAAGAAACTGTAAGAAACAATTCGGTTTCAACAAACTTGTTTCACACAAATTCAACCCAAAACGTTTAGTAAGTCCTCACTTAAGAAGTGATTCTGTTTTGTTTTGTTTTGTTTTGTCTTGTTTTGCCTCTCTTTCTAGTTCCCAGTGCTTGGCACATAGGTGCTTAATAAATGCTGGTTGACTAGTTAATTGACTATTGCGCATGGTGCTCTACAATAGTACCTATTACATGCCAGGTGCTGTGCTAAGCATTTTTATAAATATTATCGTTTGATCCTCACAACAATCCCTGGAATTTTTTTTTTTTTTTTTTACAGTTGAGGAAACTGAATCAGAGAGAGGTTAAGTGACTTGTCCAGGCTCACATAACTACTAAGTATCAGGTCAGATTTGAAATAAGTTCTTCCTGACTCCAGACTCTGTAATATATCTATGGTGCCCCCTAGATACCTAATATATTTGTGTTTTTTGTTGTGCTTCCTAAAATGTGGCATCCAGCCCTGAACACAGTATTCCAGATGTTAACTTCTATGTGCTCACTGCTGAGGTTAGAGTTGGGAGAGCTGGTTCAGGTGTGAAAGAATTCACTTAGACCTTTTCTGTAGCCATTGGTGATGCGTTCAGGCTGGACCCCAAGAATGTTGGGGTGCTACCTGAAATAATGAGGAATAGACATGCAGGTTCCAGTGTCCTGAAAGAATTCACTCTGACAGTCTCCAAGTTAAAGAAAGGCATTTATTGAGGTGATGCACCCAAGCGGGCCTGTTCCCCATGAGGCAGAGCCCCAGTGGGTACGAGGCAGAGCATAGGCCATAGGCCCTGCTCCCCTAAGGGAGCACAGTGGCCCCTGCTTCCTGTAGGAGACAAAGGCAGTTAGCTAGGTCAAAGGTACAATTTAAATACAATTTTATGGAATAGGGGGAAGGGGCCTAGAGAATGGGAGAAGCAAGCATGGCTTCAAAACACCTGATATCAGAGGTGATAAGCACCTGATATCAGAGGTGATAAGCAAAGAGAACAAGAAAAGGGGAGGGGAGGAGTTGTTCTGGAATTGAGGGTGCTTTGTGAAAGCACACAGATAAGTCCAAGGTGGGGGCTTCAATGCATAGTCTTCTTTGATTACTTTTCTGGCTGGTCAGGTCTTGTATCTTATCTCCTATCTTAGGTCCTGCTTGCTCCATCTGCCTCAAGCACTCTTTTCTATCTCATCACTCACAATTGGGTTAAATGTGAGAATTCAAAAGAAATACAACTAGTCCATGTGCTTATAAGTCTGTGCGGAGCAATATAGTTCCAATGTACATAAATTCCCATTTTATAAACTGGTTGTGTTCCAAAAGTTTATTATTAGTTGGAACTCAGAGCACTTTTCATATATTGCTATAAAGAGTAACTAGGTTCCCAGGCTAGCCCATAAAAGTTTAGTTAACTCATACTGTCACTGTATTTTAGAATTTAATTTCCATTTATAACAACATGCAGTTCCAAATTATAAATGTAGATTCCAGGAATATGTCCTTCCTAGCCCTTTTTGTGAAAAATGACCCTCTTTCAGGACCATTAGGGACTTTTGCTCTGGGGATTTCAGTGAATTACAAGCTAACCTTTCTAGTGAGATATGGTAGCCAAAAAATGTGGATGCAATTTTTAGACTACAGGAGTTTCCACTGTACTCTGCCCTAATCAGAAAACATCTGGAGTACTGTACTCAGTTAACATCTGGAATATTGTATTCAGTTCTGGGTGCCGCATTTTAGGAAGCACACCAAAAAAAACCCAAAACAAAACCCAATAGCAAACATTTCTTATATATCTATGAGGCACTGGGAATCCTTGTCCTCAAGTTCCTTGAGGACACTCAACTTGGGGAAGGGGAGATGGTAGGTTAGAGATAATTCTGAGGAAGGAGCCCAAATGGAGAAGGGTCTTGAGTTTATGACATGAGATGAGTATCAGTTGACAGAAACTGACTAAATTACATTTAGCATAGAGAAGATTCAGTACTGAGTGGGAGAAGAGGACCTGATAACTGTCATTAAGTATATTAAGTATGTAAGCAGAAGAGACAAGAGACTTAATCTTTTGACCTCAATGGGCAGAGCTAAGAACAATGAGTAGAAGTTGCAAAGAGGTTTAATGAGGCTGAAACTTATTAACAATTAGAATTGTCGAAGATGGCAGAGTAAAAGCAGTGACTTGCTTGAGCTCTCCCCCAAACTCCTCCAAATACCTATAAAAAATGACTCTAAATAAATTCTAAAGCAGCAGAACCCACAAAAAGACAGAGTGAAACAAATTTCCAGCCAAAAACAGCCTGGATGGTTGATCAGAAAGGTATATCATGCCGGATGGGGAGAGGAGCACAGGCATGGGCACTCAGGCCGCGGTGACCCTGGAGCAGGCCTCAGCAGGCAGCTATGGCAGTTTCCAGACTTCTCAACCCACGAATGCCAAAGACAACTTAGAAAGTCAGTGGGAAAGATCTGTTTCTGCAATGCTGAAAGAGAAACACAGTGGGGTTCCAGCCCCATTCCCCAAGCGCGGGCCATGGCTGCCTCCTGAGCTTCAGGCCCACAGACTGAAGGGGAATCAAGTGGCTGATCAGAGGGGGATTGCAGGGATCTCTCTGCTGGTGCAGGATTCTCTTGCTTTGCCAATACTTGGATCTGGGTCACAGTTCTGGGTGGCGGTCCTGGGGCAAGGAGGAGTGCTGGCGTGGTAGAGCTTGTAGTGGCTGTGGAGAGGAAACCCTCCTCACAGTTCCAAGACAGAAAAGAGTGCTCATAGACCAGAGCACAGGACAGGAAAGGAATAAACACCTCGCCCTTGATCATACCACCCTGGAGGAACTGAAAATTTGCAGGTCCCTAGAAGTATCTCTGAAAACAGCTGCACAAAACCCCTGAAGCTTGGGACAGTACATTCTGAACACTGGAAACAGACTCCTACCTTAACAAAGAATCTACAACTCAAGTAATTGGCTGAGATCATGAGCAAGCAGTGCAAAAAAAGTCAGAATATATTATCTTACTTTGATGACAAAGAAGGTCAAAACATACAACCAGAAGAAGACAACGAAGCCAAAGCTCCTACATCCAACACCTCCAAGAAAAATATGAATTGGTCCCAGGCCATTGAAGAGCTCAAAAAGGATTTTGAGAAGCAAGTAAGAGAAGTAGAGGAAAAACTGAGAGGGATGCTAAAGGAGACCCAAAAAATACTG